CCTCCCTCCATCCTCCTTCTTCATCATCTGCTCATTTGAAAGACCGTTTTTGAGTACGCTGGGAAGAAGCCAGGGGGGGGGTGTACGACCTCTCGCCATTCAAAAGTACGTAACACACCCTCTCGCCCAGCCCCCCCTCGAAAGAAGAGAGAGTCTGGGGGGGGGGTCCCCCTCACAAGTCTGGGGGGAGGTCGAACCCTCCCCGCCCAGCGCCGGCAAACGACGACAACGAGGAGGACGATTACGACGACAACGACGACGACGACGACGACGACGACGACCACTACCTCCGCACCTTCCGCGCCCCCGCCTGGGCGGCGCGCGGATCGCCGGTCTTGCACTTCGTGCGTTGCGTCGGCTACACGCTGTGTTGACCTCCAGTTCCCGCACTGGGCCCCGCCCCAGCAGGCACACAGGCGCAGCAGCCGCCCCAGTCCCCGCCGGCGGGGCTGACCGCGCCAGCGCACTCAGGGCAGTGATCCGTCCCCCCTGAGTGGCCCTCGCCTTGCCTCCCCCTGTCTGCGGCCGCCTGCTCTGTCCCATGTTCCCGCTTTTGCACGTTGGCCACTTCGCTACAACGGTGCCCCCGTTTCGTGAGGCCTTTTCGCCAGCGCAAACGACCCCTGCCTAGCCGCCGACGGAAAAATGTGCGGATGTATGCGTTGTGAATAATATTGTTGCGGCGGGTGTGCATATGCATATGCATATATATATATAGCGTTGCCTTGGTCAGTTGTGGTGTGTGTGTGTTGAGAGCTGCTTGTGCAAGACAAGAGATATCCCAGTTGCCAGGCAGTAAACTAGCACACATCCCAATCGCTGCATTCATGTTGTCCCCCAGAACGAAAGTGGATTTTCAAGATATTCACTGGACTTGATGCTCGAATCGTCTCACAATCCTGTACACATAGGATCCGATTGTCGGTTCATGATGGCTGGCTGTAATTCGTACCAGTTGGTTTTCTGGCCGGTTGAGAGTCGGCCAGGTCTGTTGTAATTGGTACCGGTCGGTTGGAATTGGTCCGACATGTGGTTTGGACCCCCCCCAATTTTCGGGCGGGGCGGGGTGGGGTGGAGAGGGTTTCGATCCCCGCTCCCCCGAATTTCGGGAAGCGTCTGGGGTCTCAGGGCCAGGGCGGAATGGGGACTTGTAGCGCGCGCAGAAAGAAATCGTTCTCTCCTCGATTTCCCGTCTCCTTCCCACCACGTTTGTTGGAAGACTTTGGAAAACGAGCACCCATACCGCCTTCAATATTCAGTCGGATGTTGAGCTGTAGTGCTACAAAAGTATACAACGCGGGTCATTACTGCATATGTTGACACCCACCTTTTAGGCTCCATCGCATACCCCCCACCTTCTACCCATCAGGGTCTACGTTGCACTTTGGGTGCGGGCTTTGTATCCCGCATCTGCAGTTACCCGCCATCCGCCCGCAGCGTTCGTGCTCGCGCTTTGCAGCCTTGACTTCGACCACCATGTGGTTTGTATTTTCGCATCTTCATCCTATGCGGGTTGGTCTCTCATCATGGGTAGTTTTTTTTCTGGCGGCACAAGGGCCCAAGACGGGCACTCCTCTGGAGACCCAGCAACTTGAAAAAATGTTGACGCTTCGCGTACATATCCCCACCAGCCCATCCAGAAACGATGCCCAGGGGAGTTGAGGTGACCAGGGAAGTCGGGGAGCATGCAAAATAACAAAATGCGGGGGGAGCCGTTCGATACCCTAAGAGGGGGAGGATGGTGGAGGAGAAGGAGGAGGAAAAGGAAAAGGAGGGCGGAGAGGAGGAGGGAGGACGAGACAGTGGACAAAGAGGACGAGGAGGAGGAGGAAAAGGAGGAGGAGGAGGAGGAGAAGGAGAGGAGGAGGGAGGACGAGACAGTGGACAAAGAGGAGGAGGAGGAGGAGGAGGAGGAGGAGGAGGAGGAGGAGGAGGAGAACGGGCATCTGGGAGAGCCCAGGGCCGTTCTTGAGCGTCTTGGGTGCCCCATGCATCCTCTTGAGGCCTCTTGGTGGTCTCTTGGGAGCTGTTTGGAGGCTTCCTAGACGCCTCTTGGGGCCGTCTGAGCGCCTCTTGGGGCCCTCCTGGACCGCTCTTGGAAGCTTTAGGGGCACTCTTGGGGCCACTTCGGAGGACATCGATCGAAAAAGAGGGGAGCTCCAGTTAGCCTCCCCCTCGGGAGCACCGGACATCGCCTCCTGGACCCCTCTTGGAGCGTTCTTGGGCGTTCTTGGGGCCGTCTTTGGGGCTCTCGTGGGCCTCTCTTGGGTCTCTCTTGGGCCATCTTGGAGCCATCTTGCGGCAGCGAAAGGGCGAGACAGCAAAACACATCGGTTTGGGCCTCCCGGGGGCCTCCTTGGAGGTCTCGGAGGCCACCTGGAGACGTCATGGAGCGCTCTTGGGCCCTCTTGGAGCATCTTCGGAGCCATCTTGAAGCGTCTAAGGCTATCTTGAGCCATCTTGGAGGTCATCTTGGGCTTTCCGAGGCGCTCTTGGAGCCGTCTTGGGCCATCTTGGACGCTCCAACTACCCGCGACCACCCCCGTTCAGGTCCAGGGGAAGGGGTACGGGGGGGGAGGGGTAAACCCCTCCCCCAAGGGGAAGAAGGGGGTTGGAAGAGACGCCGCCCTAGACAACCTACGCCCAGATGGCTGGTGGGATTCCAGACGCAACGCATAAACCCACCAGCCCATCCAGAAACGATGCCCAGGCGAGGCGCCCAGGGGGCCTCTTTTGAGCGTCTTGGGTGCCTCGGGTGTCCTCTTGAGGCGTCTTGTGGACATCTTGGGAGCCTCTTGGAGGCCCTTCGGGCGCCTCTTGGGGCCCCCTGGGCGCCTCTTAGGGCCCTCTTGGGGCGCCTTTGGCTGCCTTGGGAGCGCTCTCTTCGGGCCATGTTGAAGGAGATCGATACAAACAGGGGGGGAGCTCAAATTAGCCTCGCCATTTGAGGGTGCCTATCGAATCGCCTCGTGGGCCCCTCTGGGGGCGCTCTTGGGCGTTCTTAGGGCCGCTTTGGGGCTGCTTTGGGCCCCTCTTGGGGTCCTCCTGGCGCCCGCTTGGGTCCTTTTGGGGCCATCTTGAGGCCTCGGAAGGCACTCGAATGCAAAACGGCGAGAAGGCCACCTTCATGGATTTGCAGTAGGTGTTTGAAGGGTTTGGGTCTCTCGGCGGCCTCCTGGGGGCGCTTCGTGGCCACTCGGACCCGTCGTGGAGCGGTCGTGGGGCCTCATGGGGCATTTGGGGAACCATCTTGATGCATCTTGGGCCATCGTGAGCCATCGTGGATGTCGTCTTGGGCTCTCTGAGGCCCTCGTGGACGCTCCAACTACCCGCGACCACCCCCCTCCAGGTCCAGGGGAGGGGGTACGGGGGGAATGGGTAACCCCTCTCCCCGAAGGGGAGGAGGGGGGTTGGAGGAGGAGCTGCCCTACTACCCTCGTCAAAATTAACCTCAACAGTTGCTGGCACGTCATTTCGATTTCGGCGCGCCCCTCAATGTCGACACGCCGCTCCTTCAATGTCGGGGCGAGGGCAAAGATAGTATGACCGAAGTTGACTCGAAAGTTTGACGTCGACCGACATTGGAGGGGCGGCGCATGCAAGTACCCCGACTCATCGATACTCGGCCCCAGATCTTCCGACAGGCAGTTCAACCACGTCAGACATTGTTGAGGTCAATTTTGACGAGGGTTGTAGACCACCTACGCCCACAGGGCTGGTGGAATCACTTACTCGATTCTTATTGTGACGAAGGAGGTCTGTGCCCCAGGCTTCGTATCCCGATCCCCCAGACCTCTCCCAGGGCGCATCGCCAGGACGTCGAGGCGGATCCAGCCGTGGCAACGAGGGCGCCGCAGGAGCCCCCCAGTGGGGTAACCCGCCAAAAAGGATTCGACCCGTGATCCCCGATCGAGGCCAGGGGCAACTTCGCGCTTCGCCCCCCCCCCCCCCCCCCTCCATCACTGTTCCCTATTCATAAGCACCCCCTCTTCCCTATTCATAAGCACCCCCTCCCCCAGGCGACTGCTAGCCAACCAGGAACCATGAGGGCCCCCCCCCAACCATCCCTTAAACAACCGTACAAAACACACTCTGCCTCCTAATCCGGAGCATGCGCAGCCAACCCGATGCGGCTTCCCCCCATCATCCCTGTCAAAAGCAATACAGAGTACACTTGGCGGCGGCGGCGGCGGCGGCGACGGCTGCGGCGGCTGCGGCGGCGGCGGCGGTGGCGGCGGGGGCGGCGGCGGCGGCGGCGGCGGCAGCGGCAGCGGCTGTGGCGGCGGCGAGTTGGCAGCGGGGGCGGCGCGGCGGCGGACTGGCCCCCAGCAGCAGCACATCCAGAGACGACTGCTGAATATGCTGAGGCGCACCTTTCCCTCGCAGTGCCACGCAGTGACAGCACTGGGATCCGGGGATCTCACGGCCCCCGCGACGCTGCCCCCCCCCCCAGAGTACCATCGCCCCCGCTTCGCCGCCCCCGACGTCCAAGGACGGCCAGACTCGGGTGCTGCGTATGTGTTGGGAGGGCGGGCGGGAGTGAGTGAGAGGGCTTGGCGGGCGGGGAGGGAGTCTGGACCCCCCCCCCCACAGGAAGGCGACCGTGAGCGACAGGCCACCCGCCGCGGCCCCGCGGCGCTCGCCGCCGCGGCCGCGCGGGGGGGTTGGGGGGGGGAGTGTCTGGGTCGACCCTTGGGAGAGGAGGAGGAGGAGGAGGAGGAGGAGGAGGAGGAGGAGGAGGAGGAGGAGGAGGAGGAGGAGGAGGAGGACAAGCTAGGTGCGCTCGCGTCATATCTGACGTGGCGCTGATTTTCTCTATCCGCGGACGCGTGTCGTAGCGGACCTGTGGCTCCGCGCGCGCGTGCGTAGTGGGTGGTGGTGCGCGTGCGTGCGTGCGTGCGTGTGTGCGTGGTTGTGGTGGTTGTGGTGGTGGTGGTGGTGGTGGTGGTGGTGCTGGTGCTGGTGCAGGTGGTGGTGGTGGTGGTGCTGGTGCTGGTGGT